ATGCGCCTATGTTTGCTAGCTTTTTCTACGCCTTGGAATCAACCTACGGTTGTATAATACATATATTGAGGGATACAATAAAACCCTAAGTGATGATGATTCTTATGTTCAAAAATCCGACTAATATATACCGAATCGATACGAAAAAACAAGTAAGGGAGCGAGGATACCTTGCTCTCAAAGATCTATGGATCAAATCAAGGTTTTCAGGGTCCAATATGATAATTCGTGAGGTAGGGTGAAGTGGAGAGAGAAAAACTCGAGAGGGAGGAGAAAGAAGAGGAAGAACTCTCGGGCAAGAAGGTTGGGCCAGGGTTAAATGTAGGGAGCTCAGCGCCAGTCACTACGGCGCCAAGCTCGGCGCCAAGATCTACGGCGCTGAGCTCGGCGCCAGTAACTCTGGCGCCCAGCCCCCTAGCAGGCCATCGACCGTGCCCAAGAGCTCAGCGTCAGCATCAATAGCGCTGAGCTAAGGGTCAATTTTCTGAATTCTTTCCGCCAGGGGTCTATTTGTGAGAAACTTTTAAAAAAGAGCCAAATTGTAAAAAAATCGGTATGAATAACTGTAGGTAGGGATGCAAGCGGGCTTGTCCATGAGCTCACAAATAGGAATACAAGCAGTTTCATGCATCTCATATAGGATTAATTGTGGAATATATAAACCTAGTCAAATTTGAAAGCATTTTGCTCCTCAAAAGTGAGATTTACTTTGTTTCGGAAGGAGAGAGTGTATAAGTGAGAATGATTTCCGGTTGCTTGATGATGTCATGAGTAGGGTTGGCATCAAATAAAATGATATTGAGTTTGTGTCGTAATGCTGATGCATTTTTTCTGTCCTATCTTTAACGCCTAACCCACCGCTGCCACTTCGGCTAAGGGCGCCTCTGCCACTGACTTAACGCCCCTGCAGCTTCCACTCTGACATTCTTTGGCCCCACACCACCTCTCGCCACTTTGGTTGTCCTCCACCGCTCCGCTCGGCTTCGCCGCCACCTCGTTGCCTCACCACTGTGTGGAAACACTACGCCATGCCTATGAAAATCCGTCTAAGGGCTTGTTCGGTTGATTAGGAATAGGGCCTTAGAATAATTCCTAGCCGGAATGATTCAATAATTTATACTAATTTTGAGGAGCTGGAATTGTTCCTGGTGCATTCCGAGAAAACCGAACGGACCCTAAGGGGGTGTTTGATACATGACTAAAGTTTAGTCCTTGTCACATCAGATATTCGGATGCTAATTAAAAGAACTAAACATGAGATAACTATAAAACTAATTGCATAGATGGAGACTAATTTGTGAGACGAATCTATTAAGCCTAATTAATAATTCATCATTAGCACATGTCTACGGTAGCACCACATTATCAAATCACGGAAAAATTAGGCTTAATAGAATCATCTCGCAAATTAGTCTCTATCTATACAATTAGTTTTGTAGTTAGTCTATGTTTAATACTCTAAATTAATGCCCAAACATCCGATGTGATAGGGACTAAAGTTTAGAAGGGGTAATACAAACACCCTCTAAAGCCGGAGGATATTGGAGGGCCCTAAATCCCAAACCGAAACCCTAATCCTTACCCTCTCCACCCCGCGCGCTAGCCTCGACAACTTCCATGGTTGGTGGCGAGCACGCTGCTCCGCCCACACCTCGTCCACCCCTAACCTCACATGTGTTGTACGCGGAAGATGTTCAAGTGTCGCAGGGCAAAGACAACCACATAGCTTCCCCCAATCGCTTCTTGACACATATGCGCGTGTTGCTCGCAGGTAGGTTCAGGCTCTGCACGCACGCCAAATAAGGATTTTGGTCACGTGGCCGAGATACCTAGAGTAAAGAGACCAATCGAGCCAAATAAAACTACTCCCTCCAACTCAAATTATAAATCATTCTAACTTTTTTAGAGAATCAAAGTATCTCAGGTTTGTCCACCACTTCGTTACGCTAGCTAGCATCTTAAGTTTAACCAACTTTCTTGGAGATACAATGAAGTGGCGGACAAAGAAAAGGAGCAGGAGGACACGATCGAGTGAGCATTGAATGCAAGGCTAGTAGTGGCAATAGCCGTGCAATGGCTGGCATCTCTTGTGTCAATATATACCAGGTGCTCGTGCACGCCCAATTAAGGCCCTGTTTAGATCCCACCCAAAATCCAAAAAATTTTAAGATTTCTTGTCACATCAAATTTTACGGCACATGTATGAAGCATTAAATGTAGGTAAAAAGAATAACTAATTGCACAGTTTATCCGTAATTGACGAGACGAATCTTTTAAGCCTAAATAGTTCATAATTAGATAATTTTTGTTAAATACAAACAAAGTGCTACAGTAGCCCAAAGCTAAAAATTTTCGCATCTAAACGGGGCCTAAAGGAAAGAAGAATGCTTCTAGCTTAAGACTTGATCGATGTGCATGTCGTCATTATCCTCTCTCAGTACGTCCTAATCCAGCACTTGCTTTTAGCTACGTACTTACAACACTTGCTTTTTGATGTCGTCGCTCGCTTTATTTTGTGCTCGATTTTCCTATCCAAATCACCTTTTGACACATGCAGAGAGAGAGAGAGGGGAGAGAGAGAGAGACGCATTCGCATGCTGCATGCGGCTACGATGATGCATCATGGAGGAGTACTAGCTACTGTCTGAAGTGTGATGATGCAGCTGGGCCTGCTGCTAGCTTTTGGTGCTGCTGGTGCCGGAGCTGGTGTGCATCTCTCACTCTTTTTTTTTTCTAAATAGCGTATCATTATATTAAAAAGTTAAAAGTTTTAAAAAAATATAAGAGAGGCCGTTCCCGACCCGGCTGATATACCTTAAAGAGGCTACATTTTAACTATGATATTCTTAAGATCCATTGGGATCAACCTAAACTACGCGCGGGCCTATGGCGCCATGGCCTAAGGCTGGCCACCTGCTCCACCGGATGCTGGGAACAACTCATCTCTCACTCTCAGTCCAGCTACTAGGCAGCAAAGCAACATCTGGGCCGGGGGGATTTTTGCGAGAATCCATCCAATATATAATGCGTAGTACGTAGTTGCGTCTCAAACTCAGCCAGCGAGGTAACAAACATGACAACATGATAATGCAGTGATGTCAAGAGGCAAATTAAAGCTGACATGCACGTAGATCAATCCATGACCCATTGATCATTGCCTTCTGGTGCAATTAAACTAACAACAGTCATTCAGTGGCAGAGCTCGACAAGGATCACATGCATGTTACCAATAGAAAGAGGGGTCATATTACTTGAGTGGTGGAATTAAGTATATTTGTAGTTACTTATTATAAGAAATTATTTTTTTTTATTCTTTATAAGAAATTGTTTAGATGAGGGGAAGCCATGGCCTATTTGTAAGAGTTACAATGACTAGTCTTTTTAGTATATATAGACGTTTTTGTCAATGCCCAAAAATTATCATATCGGATAGCATACACATACAAAGTATAATATTTATTGTAGTTCGTAAAAATCAAAAAGAGGGAGAAACGGTCTACTCTCTCCGTCCCAAAATATATGCACATCTTACACTTGGAGGAGTCAATTAATCTCATTTAACTAGATTTATAGAAAATAATATTAATATTTTTATCTCTATATAGATTTACTATAAAAACATATTATGTGATTAATGTAATGTTATTTATTTAGTATCATAAACATTGTACGTTTTATATATTTGATCAAATTTAATATTGGCTGACTTCTCGAAGTGCAAGATATGCACTTATTTGGTGCAGAGGAAATACTGCGTGTTGCCCCTCGAGCGTTTTCAAGCTCCTCCAGACTCAATTTTCAAACCGCCTGATGAGTGTCATGATTTGTATTTTAGGAACCTAGATGACATCTCCAAACAAGCTTAAAAGGGCGTTAGTATATTTCACTTTATATAATAAAAAAGTAAATAAGGAAGATATGAAGGTGTTGATTTTAATATGTACTATACTAGTTCCTGATATCGCATTTGAGCGTTGCACTTTTATGATTTGCAACTAGGAAATTATAGTATCTGCTGTGCATATTTCTGATTTGTCCATGCGGCATGCGCACGTTAGCAACGCAGAGAAAAGGATTAGCTGAAACTGGCAGCTTCGGCGGGGCGTTTTGTGTCACAAGGACAGAGGGAGTGTTAGGCCTGGTTTAGTTCATCTTCTAAAGTTTTCCTCTTATCTCATCGAATACGAAGTATTAAATATAGACTAAAAATAACTAATTATATAGTTTACGACTAATTTACGAGATGAATCTTTTAAGCCTAATTAGCTCATGATTTGACAACGTTGTGCTACAGTAACACATGCGTTAATGATGGATTAATTAGGTTTAATAAATTCGTCTCGCGGATTACTGACGGATTCTGTAATTTGTTTTTTTATTAGTATTCAAACACCCTATACAACATCTCTACGTGACACCCAAAACTTTACCCTGGATTTAAACGAGGCCTTAATAATAAGTTGGCACCAAAGCCAAAGGTCGGTTGGGTTTTTGATTTGAGTTGGCATTGGCACGGATAGGAAATTCGGGATAAACACCCACCCAAAGTCCAAATATCCCATACCAACCTTTTCTTTTCTCCTCCGGTTCCGGTTTGTACTCGCAGTCGCAGACAGTCAGGCCCCCTGTCCCACACATTCTCTCTCTCTCCAACGACCAATGCCTGCCTACTTACCTATCTCGATTTGTTTATTTATAAACAAATTATTATTTTTGCAATCAGTCACTTTATCACTGGTTAAAGACGAGCGCCGCATGGAGTCGGAGCACAGTGGTAGAAAAGAAAAGCTGGATTTCCATCTCATCTCCTTGTTGTTGGTCTTGTTCGGTTGTTGATTGAGATTAGAGTAGAGTAGAATCTAGTACTCCTAGGACTGCCTGCTACTAACAGCTGCAGCAGAAGCAGCGCAGCGGCTTTTGTGGCCTTGGGGTTGGGGGCGGGCGAAAAGGAGCTAGCTGCTGCTGCTGCTGCCTGCGGAGGACCTCGCAAGCCAACTTCCATGGCTGCCGCCTTCTCAGCCGCCGCCGCTGCTGCTCTCCTCCTCCCCTTGCACTTCCACCTGCTGCTGCTCCTCCTCTCGCCGTCCGCTGCGCAGCCTGGTGAGCCACCCTGCCCTTCCATCCCCCATTCTTCCCCATCTCCAAAGATTCGTTTTTTTTTCCTTGTTATTTTGTTTACGGCGGTACCGCCCTTTTTCTACCCAGCTTTACGCATTCATACTCATAGCCAATGTCATGGGGGAGAAATGTTCCAGCTTCTCCAGGAGATTTGCGAAATTGCAAGCCGAGGAATGTGCATACCCATCCACACTGACCCCCTGTTTGATTTTGCCCCTTAATTAGTTAGTTTGCATTCCATAAATGACAGCACTAGTAAATCTAAGCTAACCCAGAGTAAGCAACTAGCTTGGACTGTGTCTGTGTCTTATCTTTAATTTGCCCCTTCCCATCCTGCTCCTGCAGGTTTCATCAGCCTGGACTGCGGGGGAGCTCGTGATCACACGGATGCCATCGGGATCCAATGGACCTCCGACGCCACCTTCGTCTCCGGCGGCGGCCAGACGGCGCAGCTGCTGGTCCAGAATGGCCAGCAGCAGGCCCAGCAGCAGCTGACCACCGTGCGCTACTTCCCCGCGGATAACAGGAAGTACTGCTACACCATGAACGTCAGGAACCGGACGCGCTACCTCGTCAGGGCCACGTTCCTCTACGGCAACTTCGACAACAGCAACGTCTACCCCAAGTTCGACATCTCCCTCGGCTCGTCTCCCTGGTCCACCATTGTCGTCGACGACGCCACCACCCCCGTCGTCGAGGAAGCCATTATCTTGGCTGCTGCTCCCACGCTCAGTGTTTGTCTCTCCAATGCTAGCACGGGACAGCCCTTCATCTCTACTCTCGAGCTTCGACAGTTTAATGGTTCGCTCTACTACACCACTGATGAGACGCGCTTCTTTCTGGGACTGTCTGCGAGGATAAATTTTGGCGCAGGAAGCAATGATTCAGTGAGGTACTGATACTGCACAACACCATGCTACTGATGCCTTTTACATTGTACATATATAGGCTTCACAATTAACACAGTTCTAAACTAGAATTCTGTCAAAATATGAACTTAATATCCTCTGGGTAGAACTGTGACTGCATGTGTTGTTGTGATTGTGGTTACGATACTCTGTCCTGGTCAGCTCAAAGGTCCAATTGGGCCATGTGACTGCTTTGCTGCCACATATCAAAGCTCTGATCATGCTTCACCTTACTGTCATAACTAAGTTATAACCAGAACTACATTTTGTTTCATGCAAACAAATGACAGAAGATTGTTCCTTTTCTTGTTCCACAGATACCCTGATGATCCATTTGATAGAATCTGGGAATCCGATTCTGTGAGGAGAGCAAATTACCTTGTTGATGTTGCTCCAGGGACTGAAAGAATATCAACTACCAAACCCATATTCGTCAGTACCAATGAAGAACCACCTGAAAAGGTCATGCAAACAGCAGTAGTTGGCCAGGATGGGTCCTTGAACTACCGCCTTGATTTGGAAGGTTTCCGGCAAATGCTTGGGGAGTCTCATATTTTGCAGAAATTGAAGATCTGGCACCAAATGAAACGAGGAAATTTAAGTTAGAGGTCCCCGGCATGCCAGCACTCAGTAAACCAACTGTTGACGTGGAGGAGAATGCTCAAGGAAATACCGTTTGTATGAACCAGGCTACACGAATTTGACACTTCCGTTTGTTTTCGTTTGGGTTCAGGAAGACAAATGATTCTTCAAAGGGGCCTATTTTGAATGCGCTGGAGATTTACAAATATGTCCAAATTACTATGGGATCACAAGATGGTAAGCAAATTGTGCACGGTTCTGCTACCTTTACTTTTTCCTAGCTGCAACAACCCCTTATGTTTCAGAATAAGAAACTCACTTTGGGACTGAATTGGTGTATGCAACATTGACAGCAAATATCATGGCCAGCATGGTATCACGATATCCACAGGAAGGTTGGGCACAAGAGGGTGGTGATCCGTGCTTACCAGCATCATGGTCCTGGGTGCAATGCAGTTCAGAAGCTTCTCCAAGGGTATTCTCAATGTATGACAACCATGTCATTATGCCTTCAATTTTTTGGCTTCCTTAATGAAATAGTATTTGACACCTAATAATTTTTTTTCTTGCAGCACATTGTCTGGGAAGAACATTACAGGAAGTATCCCTGTGGAACTGACAAAGTTATCAGGGCTGGTTGAGCTGTAAGGACTGAATACTTTATTTTTATCTTGTCTAAGTATTTGACTTCTATTGTCTGATCGACTTTATTTCGGTTAATGCAGAAGGCTTGATGGTAATTCATTTTCTGGCCAAATTCCTGATTTCAGCGAATGCCGTAATTTGCAGTATATGTGAGTTTCCAGTTTTTTTTTTTTGATAATGTGTTATTCTTAAATGATTCTACTAATATACGGTGCTTTTCTTCATTCTAGTCACCTTGAGAACAATCAGTTAACTGGTGAATTGCCATCTTCTTTGGGAGACCTACCTAACCTGAAAGAGTTGTAAGTTAAACATCCTTGTGTGCACCTTGTCATAATCTCTAGACTTTGGAGACCATAGTATAGTCTTTCTTCAATTTATTTCCCTTTGACTTTTTTTTTTATTTGTATTCATTTCTTACATTTTTCTGCTCAAGAAACCAAAAGACAAATTGATGTTAGTGATTTAAGATTTTTTATATGAGTACATCTGTGTGAGGATTTTTATGGAAAAAAGGAGCGCTCTTATTATGAACTAAAACTTATGCAGGTATGTTCAAAACAACAAGCTGTCTGGGCAGGTTCCAAAAGCACTTTTCAAGAGAAGCATTATTTTGAAGTTAGTATCATGTCCTTAAAGCAGACTATTAATTTCAGATCATGCTTTTGAACACTAATGTGGCTTGAAAGCCTTCACTCTTTAGTGCCACCAAAATGTTTACATATGTGGATCAAATAGCTATGCTGTTCTTAGAATGGTCGCATGACTCCCATATGTTCTAAATTGTTACATGGCTGCAGCTTCTCAGGCAACAGTGGCCTTCACATAGTAAGCAATGGCATTAGCCACACCATAATTGTTATATGTGTGGTGATTGGAGCCATTGTCTTACTGGGTATTGCTATTGGATGCTATTTCATTACATGTAGGAGAAAGAAATCTCATGAAGGTACACACTCTTTAGCTCAATTGGTATATCGATATTATGCTAGGGAAGGGCATGCAGTGATTCTTTTGCCATCTCCAGACCCTGTTGTTATTGCAGCACCAGCAAAAAAACTTGGTTCATATTTTAGTGAAGTAGCTACAGAATCAGCACACAGATTTTCTTTATCTGAAATTGAAGATGCTACTGACAAATTTGAGAGAAGAATTGGCTCTGGAGGCTTTGGCATAGTATACTATGGGAAGCTGGCTGATGGGAGAGAGATTGCAGTCAAACTTCTCACAAACGACTCCTATCAGGGAATCCGAGAATTCTTGAATGAGGTTTGTTCTCATACTCTCAACATTAGTTCAAAATAGTTGCATAACTGGATAACCCTCCTGTATACTTTTTTATGCAATTCTGAATTATGGCAGCCTGAAATACGGAACTTAGTGTGTTCTTGCATATATGTAGCTGGCTAACATCTTGTTTCAGGTGACATTGCTTTCCAGAATACATCATAGACACCTGGTTACATTCCTTGGTTACAGTCAACAAGATGGCAAAAACATATTAGTGTATGAGTTCATGCATAATGGGACACTAAAAGAGCACCTCCGTGGTAAGTCCACATCCAACTGATGGTAAATCTACAATGTAGGACCAACGACAAACTGTCAGTAGGTGGATAGTTATTCTTCCAGAAGCAGACAAGCTAAATGTTTCTGGTATATAACTTAACTAAAAGAATGCTCCTACTGTTGATTTTACATCTTTTGGAACTGCAGAGCATTCGCGCGTGCTTAATTAACTGAACTCAAACATGAAGTTAGATCAGATTCTCCTTAATGATAGACAGGCTTTTGTGTATGCCAGATATCTCTAGTTTAGCTCTCAATTGTGATTCAACCCTAGCAGCAACATGAAGTGTTAGATGACAGCACCCCATGGTCAACAGAGAGAACATATACAGATGAGGGTAAACTTTTGGTGGTGTTTCGCAGGAGTTGATAATGTAAAGATAACTAGCTGGCTGAAGCGTCTTGAGATTGCAGAAGATTCTGCAAAAGGTTTGTGGTCTGCTGGTTTCACAATTCACTACTTGTATATTGAAAATTAGCCACCACGGTTCTGATTCTGAATGTGAAATTGCAAAAATCAGGTATAGAGTATCTCCACACAGGATGCTCCCCAACAATTATCCATAGAGACCTGAAGAGCAGCAACATTCTCCTAGACAAGAACATGAGAGCAAAAGTTGCAGACTTTGGGCTATCGAAACCTGCAGTGGATGGGTCTCATGTGTCAAGTATAGTTCGAGGAACAGTGGGATACCTGGACCCAGAGTAAGGCCAAGCAATCTGACTGAGGTGTTTTGTATCATTCTGTTTCATCTTCTCTTACAATCTATTTTGTTCTGGTGTGGTTAGGTACTACATCTCGCAGCAGCTGACAGAGAAGAGCGACATCTACAGCTTCGGCGTGATTTTGCTGGAGCTCATCTCCGGCCATGAACCGATCTCGAATGACAACTTTGGGCTCAACTGCCGTAACATTGTTGCGTGGGTAAGAAGAGAATAGTACTAGCATCAGTTTTGCTTCCTGTTCCATCGGTGAGTTTCTGCTGAAGGAAAAGCAATGGATGTAAAAACTGAAGTAAACGAATGAACCTGGCAGGCCCGATCGCACATCGAGAGCGGGAACATCCACGCCATCGTTGATGAATCGTTGGACAGAGGCTATGACCTGCAGTCGGTGTGGAAGATCGCTGAGGTGGCCATAATGTGTGTGAAGCCCAAGGGCGCTCAGAGGCCTCCCATCTCTGAGGTGGTCAAGGAGATCCAGGACGCCATTGCCATCGAGCGGGGACCCCAGGAGATGCAGCGCTCTACCATCCAACAGCAGGTGCTCGTGTCCAACAGCAACAAGTCCATGGGTGGTGCCTCGTCGTCCGCGAACAACAATTCAGGTAGTGTGGCGGTGGACTTGGAGCAGAACGGAGCATCCTTCGACGAGCTGCTCATGCGGCCGGGTCTCAGATGAGATGAGAATATTGCAGCAGTCCTCAGCTTTATTTGTATGTACTGTACTGTACCTATGTATGTATGAGTTGCCAGTCTTAAGTCCGAGATCAAGGTTTCATTCATGTAGGTACCACCGAGAGTCCCTGAGTTGTATGTAGATGGGCGAAGGGTTTATTATGTTTTGCTAACAAGGAGAAAACTAACTGGCTTGAGAACCACCCAGTCCCTGAGTTGTATGTGACGTGCAAGTATTTGTTTTTTTTTTTTAGCTAACAGGGAACTAAGGGAACAAAAGTAAAGTTTTGGCAGGCAAATCAAATAAGGAAACGAAGTTTTGGGAGGCAGAAAACAGTGTCTGTTTTGAATAAATAAAGGTTAAGGGACTTTTTGTTCAAAAAAGAATACTAAGTAATGCTAAGCAAAGAAACCAATGCAGTATCATACATTGCCGTGGGTAACACTGGTTGAATATGACTTTCTTGTTGACCTTCACCTCAAATTTCCTTTAATTAATATATCACTCAGCTCCCCACGCAAAACGCATGTACTCGCCACAGGCAGCCAACAACAGCAGGGAGCAAGAGCAACCACCACTAGTTAATACAGACACCGAACACCAGGTTACTACAGAAACCGACCGATATCATCATGTACAGACACAAGAAAACAAACTGTCATCAAGCCAAGCCACCTTAGCTTCTTCTTAATCTCTTTCCGTCACAAGTCAAACCACACCACATTATAGACATCTCTATCTATTTCAACTTCAGCTGCTTTGTTCTTCTCCGCGCATCTTTCTTTTCATTCAAGCTTCACAAAATCATAGAAGAGAATGAACCTGATCATCAACAAATAAACCAAATGGGTGGTCAGTTTTCTAACTTGTTTGTGCACCAATACATAGTACGCTAGTTTCACTAACAAGAAACTAATCAATGGCATGCATACCTGGTAATTTCAAAGGACTGGACCAAAGCTCAGGTTCATGTTGGTCAATTCCAATACAACAATAAATACTCGTGTACCAGCTCATAAGCACAACACCACTATCCACCTCAGGTATTTGTTGTGCAAACAGTTACTTCCAGAAATCGACAAGCTCCCCAAGTTTGAACATGTCAGCTCAAAGTCACACATTATCCAAGAGACAATCACATTCCAAAGGCTCTGTTATAGATATCATTTGAACCCAGCATGTGCATCTTGTTCACGTCACTTGGATATAACATCCTCGACATGTCTGACATTGTGGTGTTATTCCCTTGTCTTGAATCACTCCACCCATCCCAGTGACCACTTGTAAGCTGCGAGTTTCTGGGTTGTTGCGGAATCTGCGCATAAGGGGATATAGGACCATGGTTCTGAGCTAAAAATCTGGATGCCAGGTAATTATCATTCATATGGTTCAAGCCATCCTGCATAGGGTCTATGAATCTCAGGTTTTGATGAGACTGCACATTTGGCTGTATATGCAACTGAAACCTTGAATCACTACCTGCTGGTTGCAACTGTGCTTGAAAAGCAGGAGTATTTTTCATCTCCAGCCCTGAATCGCCAATTCCATGCATCAGCCCTTTGCCCACAGCTAATATAGCAGGATCATCAAACTCCATATCACTTGCATGCCTTCCAAACTGAGATTGGTAATGATTACTGTTGCCACCCAAAACAGTATCCCGGAGAAGATTGTCTGTGAAGAACCGCAAAAGGCATGAGAAATCAAACTAGTTATAGGAAAATAAGCAAAAATACTGAGACAGGAAACAAACCTTGGTATGTTGAGCCATATGATTGATTAGACCCATCCTGTGATGAAAATCCAGAAGAAAATGCAGAAGGAAATCTAGAAGGGGGATTAGGGCCATCCTGTGATGGAAGTCCAGAAGAAAATGCAGGAGGAAACCTAGAAGAGGTATTAGGTCCATCCTGAGATGAAAATCCAGAAGAAAATGGAGAAGGCAGTCTAGTAGGGGGCTTAGACACTTCCTGAGCTGAAATTCTAGAAGAAAATGCAGAAGGGAATCTAGGAAGGGGGATAGACCCATCATGAGACGAAATTCCAGAAGGAAACCCAGGAGTGGGGTTCAAACTATCCTGGGATGGAAATGCAGAAGAAAATCCAGGAGGGGGGACTCTTGCTGGTGCTGAAAATCCTGGGGGGGCAGATATTTTAGATCTCGATGTACCTGAGAAAGCAAATTCTTCGTAAGCACATAAACTTATCACTGGTAAACATAAAAATCACATAATAAGCACCAACAGATCAACAATCTATTTGTATGAGTCAGAATATCTTTACCAATACTGAATGAAAAATAAGTGCAGCACACAGAAATAAGTTCATTCAATTACAGTACCTATCATTCTTTTTTTTGGGTGCGATTTACAGTACCTATCATTCTGCTCAGTCAGGCAAAGTAGTGAAAAGGTATCATAGTACTCACCAGCAGTTGCCATGTCTAATACACCAAGAGAGTTGCTATTGGAAAAATCATTTTCTAGAGATTGGAATGCAAGGCCATTCTGGTAAATATTTCCTCGAGAATTCTGGGGCAGCAAACTCAAATTCTGCTCAGTACCAGTACCACAGTTTCTGAGAGATGAATCTAACAAGTTTCCTTGGTTATCCTGTCTAGCAAATGAAAATCTGGACTCTTTGCTCCCAGTTCCTGATTTCCATGAAGGCGCAGTGAAATGGACATCATTATTTTCAGATTCCCTAAGCATCCTAACAAAATTGTTAGCAGTCGAATATGAATCATCCCACGGATTAAACTCTGACGACAACATATCAGAAATTATTCTGCTCTCATCCTTATTTACGCTTATGGTCTTGTCAAAACTTCCTATACTATCTGAACCCATTGCTCTATGCTGATGACTTCCTATTCCAGGATGTCCAGAAACATTACCATGTGTATATACAGTCCCTAGCCCATCTTGACCTCCATTTGGCAAGACATAAGTGTTATTTATTGAAGAAAACCCCGTCTGTGAAGCTCTAGTGCCAATCGTCAATGCAGGGTTACTTTCTGTATCATTCCACAATGAATTATCCAATGTACTAGGAAATTGGGCAAATGACGAATATGATGGTTGCTTTGAACCATCCAGTAGTATACTATGAAGTTTGTCAGTGAGCATTGTAGAATCTACTATATCATTTAAAGGAGTCACACTACAATTTTGCAGCTCTGAACTCCAATCAAGACGCTTATCAGAACTATATTGACAAGAAAGAATAGTATCCTTATTTTCTGAAGGTAAGAAGAGCTCATCAAGATTGAGATGAGATTGGTCTTTGTCAAAATTCTGATCCATGGGCACATCAAGAGATGTGCATGGCATTACATCTGATTGCTGATTTCCTGCCATACTCTGAATATCATTGTTGCCACCTAATTTTACTGAAGATATCTGAGCAGATAGCTTCTCCATGTCAGTGTTCCTGGATCCAATATCCTCCAATATTTTCTCCCCAGCAGCACGACTAGATTGGCAGTCTACAGCATTTGATGTAAGGCTTTTAGGAGTAATATTGGTAAGTGAGTGGTCACCATCACTCGTACTTGCATCTGATTTAGATATTGCTAGACTTGATACAAAATCTGAAGGACTTTTGCTGGTAATGTTGTTCATTGTTATGTCTTTCTTAGATAAAACCAGTGGCTTAGATGCTGGATGGGTTAGCTCGCCATTTTCATTTGCAACTTGATTTTCATCGCTTCCTTTTGACATCCCATCTGATACTACAATGTCATCGTCATTCCAAGCTGAAGGTATTGTCGAGAAATCTATGTCCAGTGATGACTCCAGTGATGATAGAGCTTGTGTTTCCTTTGAAATACCAGGCTTATACGGCTGCAAGGTTTTAGACTCTTTTTCTGACACTTGCTGTCCTTCAGACATTTTTGTTGCTGTACTTGTATCATCATTCCACGAAGAGGGTGTTTTTGTACTGGAAATTACTGAAGAACTTGAAAATGGATTACTCTGTGATTCTGATTTAGGTTTTGTATGAGATTGTGATGATGTTGCCCCAGTAGCTGTTGTCCTGGCATTCAAATCACGCTGCCCCCTGCACATAAAAAAGGAAAAAAAAAATCAGTAACACAGTCCTCAGCTTCAATGCATAGCAAAAAGGTAGCAGAAGACTTTTAGAGATACCATACCATGAGGCAGCTGGTGGAAGTGTGGACCTCCCAGAACTACTGTTTGGAGGTGAAAGTCTGGGCTGGTTGGTGGCATTCTGAACAGATGGTGGCCAGTTAATGGAGTATGTAAGCCAAAACATGATGAAAATATCAGCAATTAAACCTAGACTAGAAAGCAGCATTAAGTTTAAAAAAAATGGCATGTCTTCCAATGCACTTTGAATTTTCAGCATAGAGAACATACAAGTGTTCCATTCTTGAATGTATGCTTGGCTGAAACCACCGCACTGTAAGAGAAATCATCTCCTCGGAGGGGGCAACACAGTGCCTGTACGTCTTTGTGAAACACTAGATGCCATCTGGGGGACTCTAGTCCTGACAGGAATGTAGAAGAGTGAATGAAAAGTAGCAATTGAAACTATCAAAATTGTTTTAGCACAAAGTTCATCAAAGCAGTACTTTATAATATAATAAAACATCCACATTGAAGCGCGCATACTTTTTTCTAAATCCACTTACAAAGAACACCAACAGCTTATACATAATAAAATTTTGCATAGGGATGAGTTCATCAAAGCAACACTTAATATAATACGCATCCACATTGAAGAAGACATGTTTTTGTAAATAAACCCTCAGAGAACAACAGCTTATACATAGTAAGACTTTGCTTGTATGGCTTCAAGGGATTAACTATTATATCCAGAAGTGGAAAATAAATGGTGTTTTCAAAAAGGCAATGTGAGTACAAGTAGTTTAGACAGAGAAGGAAAGTGATAGCCAGGACTAGCACATGACTTAGGGCTAAAATGAATAAGGAAGCAGAACAAGAAACTAAGGTTCCACAACATATGCTAAAATAGCTCAGTACTACCTCGTATATGCTGAGATGATCTCATCTTTAGTAAAACTATCCTCCTGACTGCCTACATCATGCAAATAGAGACAATCTGGATTCCCACATGTCTGAGAAAAGACAAGAAACATTCAGGATAAGTGAATTGGGTAGTAGAGTAAGTACTAAGTAAATGAAGATATCAGAACGAAGTAACATCTGTACCATGTTTCGCAGCCATGCATGGCAATACTTCGTAGTACCAAAGCATGCCCTGCAACAGTCAATAACCATTTGAGTTACTATGTTGTGCAAAACTTAAAGAAGAGAACAAAGTATAGAAACTCACCTTAACACTTTCCCTTCCAAGACAAAATTGTGTACAGCTTGAATACACCGGATGGCCTCTTCTTCTTTGGCATAAGTAATATACCTGTACACATTTGACAAGAATCCATCATTGCTTAAGCAAGAGCAGAAATTCTGTATCTAACTCTTACACAAACAGAACACTCCCTACCGTCACAAATAAGATGTCCACAGTCATTAACGTGTACCTTTGACTGCTAGTTTCCATTGCTTGCAATAATTACAAAGTACAGAAATATCATAACATTATGCAACTACTATTCGAGGCAGATATGCTCATATCATTTTCACATATTCAATCTAACTATGTCAAGAGGTGTTGATGATCAATGTTTAAATACTTAGACTGCACACAGCGCAAAAGGTCACTTATCTGTGACTCGAGGGAATAACTTGTTGCGACAACATGCAAATAACACCAATGGTTCTTAAACAGTTTAGGGCCATGATTACTAGGTCCTCAACAAATCAGTAGGTAGCATAATCTCTTCAGGGAAAAACTAACCGGTTTATGTAACAGCATGTACATATAAGGATAGCTAAACCAAGGAGTAACAACAACATATCAACACGTGCAAGATTTATGTAGAGAAAGTAAAGATGAGGAACAGTGTGTGTTCTAGAAGACTAGAACTCTAATTTCACATGTTCTTTAACAAAGAGACCATCAAATACAATCCATATTAGACGTGTTGCAAGCATGCAAATTTTAATATACACAGCAATTTCTACACTAGAAAAAAAAGGCACCCTAACTCCATTTTGGTTAATGCCTTAATGATAATCCCTAACTCAGTTCTGTTTAATTATAAACAATGCATGTTTCTGGCATAACACAGTTTCCTTTTTTTTAAGGCAGGCATAACACAGTTTCGGAATACATCCAGACACTTTCTTGGTATTTCCAAGAGAAATCACCCAGAAACTAAAGAACACATCCCAGGAGAACAATATAAAGTACTCAAACTAAGAAAATTAGGCATTTCATTAAGAGATGAATTTCATCTATATCTGCAAATGCAGATTTGGGTTCTGAGCTTCGCCCAGAAACAGATACCTTGCATCTATCTGATTCTTTGAATTTCACACCAATAATACAATACATATCCTAATGTTGGCAATGAGGATACAAATGTTACTTTGAAGCGGTTATGCAAATCAGCAAATCACACTGCTAAATAGTTCAGATTAAACTTAAATGACTGAGCTACTTGCATAGTTCAGATTAAACTTAAATGACTGAGCTACTTGCAAGGATATGGACATAATATCACATCTTCACCAAGTTCACTAGAAAACCACATAATAACAAGATTGAAGTCTGAATTTACTTTCTTATAATACCAACGGTACAGTATTACAAGGAACTATTAGAAACTTGAAACACACGATTGCATAGAAAGTGGATAATTATTTGATAAGCCATTAGGCTAATTGACCAGTACTGAAAGTAGAAATCTAACTGCATATTAAGTATGAATAGATCATGCAAGTGCAGCGTACAGTTCAGAGAGACATACACACTAATATTGCTGTTTGCTGATGCCTGAGAGGGAGGCCCAGTCGGACGGGAAACTGAAACCTTCAAAACTTTCCCATATTGACCAAAGTATTCCCTGCGCTCAAGTACCTAAACAAGAAATACTAGTAGAGTTGGTATGAGAAGTAAAATTTAAACATATCACACACAACTTGGACAAATCTGGATGTGAACTCACGCTCTCGTTGCATAAATGCGCAGGTAGCCCAATTATGTACACCAGATTTCTCTGGATGACCCTGACACTAGCCAGATGCTTCTTAGATTCTACGGTTGACATTGCTGTTGTTGGTGGTGCTGCCTTTGGCTTAACCTTTTGGGTCTTGTGCTTCTTCTCTGCATTTTTCTCTGCCACCGTCCTGCTTCCATCATCAATGTAAAGGTAAGTTTGAGATACCTAGTGGCAAGGTCAACTTTCACAGATGGCTCTACCTATTCCTATTTCACATGATATATAAAAGGGTAATCAATCGCAAATGTTGTAGTCAGTCTTCTGAAGTACAACAGAAATTGATTGGTAACAAGAGAAGCATTGCGACGGACCTGTCACAAGTGGCAGCCATCTTGACGATCATGTCCTTGTCATAGCGTGTGCGGCATGCAGGGCAGCGGCCCTCTGTTTCCTCCTTCTCAGCCATGTCTATGATGTGGTGCCAGCACCAAACACAAATCTGCAGAGTTAAGTGGCAGTTATTATTAGATGATGGCGCACAGCGCAGGCAAGGCAGGCTGCAATCTGATCGATATGATATGATAGGAGGAGGATCGGTAGACATACATCATAGCCGCATTTGCATGGCTTGAGCTGCTGGTCAGTGATGTCCATCTCCTCGGCACAGAGCGGGCAGGTGCGGTCGCCATCGTCGCTCATGGTCGTCCTGGTGGATTGGAAGTCAGCCAGCATGGGGAGAAACGACCACCCAAGTAG